TTTTGGATTTAGCTTGGTCTAAGATGCTGACAGTTTCCCAGTTAAAACTATGGTTAAGTCTCTCCATGTGTTGTGAGATTAAGGAGTTCTCATCATGTCTTCTGACTGCTAGTGGTGCTGTCTGTTCTGACACTGTTGTTGTTCATGGATGAGCTCTGCAAGCCTTCTGCCTGTCTGTCTGTCCTACATAGTAGGATACCCTACATAGGGGGCAGTAGCTAAGAGCTAGGTCTACCCTGCAAGGGACCAGCCCAGTGCTTTCAAGGCCATTGTGTGTCCTAGGGGAGATATATGACAATCCTGCAGTGAAATCCAGTATCCACCTCAAATAGGTACCTGTTCCTCTGTGTTACAGGGTGTGGGTGTTGAAGATGGTGGTTTCAACTGGAAGTTGATTATGAAAGGTCTGTGTTGTGTACAGTATTGCACATATCTATAGGTTCTCTCTCTCCTCTTTGCAGAGGTGCTGGAGCTGAGCCAGTACGCTATAGTCACAACTCAGAAATTAGTATTTCTCATGAACTGTATGATAAATGCTGCAGATGTCTGGTGAGGGCTGCAAGCTGAACTCTAGAGTCTCTACACCTTTTCCTCTAAAATGACATAGGTCAAGCAATGAAAGATGAATACAGAATTATAATAAAGCCTCAACCAGAATCTCTTAGTTTGAGTGTCAAGCCCTGGGAGCAGCTCTGCCTCTGGTCCCGCTGCAGAGATGGGCAGATCCTCATAGAATTGGACGTTCCCCAAATCCACAGGTCTATCAGAAAACCTAGATAGTGGCTGCTTCACACAACACTTGTGAGAACTGGATCACAGTTCCAAAACACTTCGCAGGTGCCCTCCTCAAAAGTCTTAAGCATCCTCTTCCTTGCATCAAAAGAGCCAAGAAAACAGGATTCTGATTGCTTCCTCATTTGAAAATAAAAGTACTTGCTTGAACACTTCTGTTCCTAATAAACCTACTAATCTGAAATCAGAGCCTTTTCTGTTGTGGTGCCCACTCTTTGGAACATCATCCCCCTGGAGATTAGATTAACTTCAATCCTGTTGGCCTTTCGCAAGGCCTTGAAGGTGTGGCTTGGCTTCTGGTCATGGGGGTCAGAACGTACAACAGAGCCCATGAGCTGGTTATGTTGATAGTTGGTTGTGGTTTATCTCAGCTGCCAATAACGTATTTGTTATGTTACTGTTGTGTATCTAACTGTTAACTGCCCAGAGTCGTCATGATGAGATGGGTGCCCATATGTATTGAACTAAATAAAAAAAACCACTAAATAAAAATGTTCCTTTCTCCACCATGAGTAAGCCTGCCTCACAGGGCACACAGGCAGAAACTTCAAATGCTCTGAGGGGAGGAAATTAAGAGCTGATACCACAGAGACCTTAATTGTCCAAGGAAGCCGCATTCAAGAACAATGCCAGCATGTACACTGCTCAATTAGAGCTGCAATGGCTGATGTTACAATCCTCAGGCAGCTCTGATTACACAAGTGGAATAATTCTAAATTTAAATCTAAATCCTACTTGTCCCCTGCCCTCTTGACGGTGGCTATTTAATAGCCACGCAGTGAGATCCTGGTAGAAACCACAGAGGAGAAACATACCAACACCCAGCTGAAGCAGGAGATCTCTGCATTCTGAATTACTTTCTAGCATCTTCAGCAAATTGGTGGACTCCATCCTCTCTAACTGTATGTCCCAATAGATGTAGATCTTTTGGTTGAAACTGACATAGACCAGACAAGGGCTGTTATAGTCTCCTTTACAAGAATAGAAGCCTAGAGAAAAAATCCATCATTATTCAAGAATGAAAGCAAGCAGACATGAATGAGCACCAAAATTAGGGGCAAACAGTCAAATGATGAGGCATGCTGAAATCCCAACAGTGCTGACAGATGAAATTTCAAATTCTTGGATGCCATAAGAAAATGTATAATTTCACCTAGAAATGCAGGTACTCCAGAGGAGCCCTCAAAACAACAAGGTGTAGCATCTATATTGTCAGAGTCTGCAGAAGCAGTAAATCAGGGAAGAATCTGAGTGGAAAATGAGCTTCCATAATTCAATTGTACACAATGGCTGGCAGCTGCAAGGGCGTTTTCTACTGGAAAGAGGTCTATCGAGGGCATAGAATTTTGGGGAATAGCCCATTCCTCTAATCAAGGATGAATCTGCCTAAGAATTAGAGCTACCCAAATCCTCTGAAAGAGGTGCTTTGCGATGCACACACAGATATTCATGGCACCTCTCTCTAAATCCTAAAGCACCCTTGTTTTTTTCAGGCTCACATGAAGGTCAGTAAAACTACAACTGCTGGCTCCTCTGGACAGCAGAAAATGCATCCACCCTGCATCCGTATGGCAGGACAGCAGGAAATCAATGCAGAGAGAATCAGTAGAAATGGTAGAAAGACTGAATGGAAGATGGATGTAATCACCCAGGAGAACTGTGACCAAGGATGGGGAAAGGAGAGAGTTTTGCTTCTCCCCAAAAGGGACAAATGGGGTTGAGCAGAACAACTGACTCATGGAGGGAGTGGCTGCCCAGGGTAATGGAAGGGAGGCTGGACAAAAACATCACGGAGTCCTGAAGGAGCTTGCATATGTCATCTCAAACCTATGACATCTGAGAAAAAACAGGCTGAACCTAAAGCCAAAAGTTTGGAGGAGAGCACATGTGGTTCCTATCGTCAAAAAGGGGAAAAATAACACCCGTGTAACTACAAACCAGTCGGCTTGACACAATTCAGGGCAAAACTCTGAAACAGCTAATACGGCAATCAGTTTGTGAGCATTAAAAAAACAATGCATTTCTTGAGGGGAGCAAATGTGGGTTTATCAATAATAATTCATGCCAAACCAACTTTTTTTTTTATAGAGTGTCCACTTTAGTTAACCATGAGAATATGGTGGACATAGTTTACTTTGACTTCAAGCAAAGCATCAGTAAAATCTCTCATGATCTAGGCTACCCTTGGGTGGATTACAGAGCCAGTTGAACAATCATATTCAACACAGGTACATCAGTGGTTCTGTGTCAAGCTGCTGAGTGATAGCACAATGATATCAGTTCCAGGCCTGAAGCTGTTCAACATTATAAATGACCTGGATGTGTGGTTAGAAAATATGAGTATCAAATTAGTACAGTGGTACCTCGGGTCACAAATGCTTCTGTTCACGACCAATTCGGGTCGTGACCAGAGTCGCGGAACGAATTAAGTTCGTGAACTGAGGTACCACTGTAGATTTGTGCAATTTATCAGTTGCCTCAGTCCTAGTGGACTCTTACAGATACATAAATAACAGTAAGAAATACTGCAAATCACATTAAATCATTAGAAGTAATACAACCAATAGAGGCTTCCCAAAAGCCAGATTTTTACCAGCCTCCAGAAGGCCTTGGGGCAGGGGGAAGAGTCCTTGCTTGCAGGCGAAGCTGCTCCAGAGGAGAGGAGCTGCCACAGAGGACACCCACTGCTGGCCCTTCTCAGCACAACTCCTGGTAGATGGGGACCCTCGGTAGGTATGTGTTGGCAATCCAGATCAGATGGGGAGAATGTATCTGGGGAAGGTAGGCTCTGGGATACTCAGGCTCTGAGACATCTGGGGACTGTAGCCACCTGTGCCTTGAACTGCACTGGCAGCCGATATGGCTGCCCCACTGGAGGTGTGAGCTGGCAGTACCACGACTGGTCAGGACGCATGTGGGCCACTACACTGAATTAGCTGAAACTTCTGGGGAGACTTCAAGGTTCCTTCCTTTCCTTGCCATGTGTAGACTTGTGCTTTTACCAGGAATTCGAAACAAACCTAACTTTTTCTAAGCAGACAGTCATCAAATAATGACCGTTGTCATTCGTTTCTGGCTCTGGGCTCTGGCCCGGCTTCTTTGCGCTCTCTTGCCTCATCCCCATTCAGGCCGTCTAACAGAGCAGCAGCATCTCCGTGATCAGATTACTGCAGATTTTTTTATTTTATTTTTTTACAAAACTTTTATTCTCACCATTCTCTGGAGCATAACATGGAACTGTTACCCATAAATTTAAACAAACCCGCAACAATCCAGATGGCATCAATTCGTACTATTTAACATACATTGTAGCTCTTTCATTCCTAATTGGCTCTTTACATCCATATCCCTGCATTTATTCATCAATTCCACTCAGATTACTTGCTTTCAGATCTGCAACCCCTTTCCCCTTTCTCTTAGCTTCACAAACTACAACAGACAACTGTATTTTGGTCATTTATTAAGCCATGCTCAGCTTTTTATCATTTACCCCACTCGCATTCCAAGCACAATCTCCCACTGTCATCACTGTGCCCACTGACCTCCACACTCACTACAGCTTCGGTTAATCAAGGCTGTAACATAGCAATTTTTAGTAAGATACACATTAGAAAGTATAAACTAGGTTACCGCTTTAGTGGCACCTGTGCCACATACAGCACTGTGAAGACATCGCTGGTTAGTTTGGGTACATTTTAGCCCATCCAGCACCACCACAACTCAAGCCCAGTTTTTCTTCAAGCATGCTAGGATCTCTAATCTGGAGACTATCTTGCAAACCAACATACCATTGCCCACAGCTGCACAATTAGGAGGTGGCTGCAGTGACCTGATATATATGCTCTTATATGATTATTAGTTTGTCCAATATTATTGTCACCTATTTTGGGCATGGTTTACTATCCAAAGATGCCATTCAAATAGTGCTCGGTATATGAAAGGCAACCTATAGTAACTAAATATTACCATCTCATCTCATCTCATCTAATCTGGCTGTTGAGTAGAGTGCTGGGGACTATACTCCAAAAATAGGCAGAGACTGTACAAAGAAATGGTGGCATGAATGTCATGGATGAGAAGCTGTGGGCATCTGACTGAAAGTAGTAGAACCAAGCTGTATGTAATCTCCTGTGCAACACAATATTACAGCAGAATTGCCAGTAAATAGCTCACCTGCACAGAAGGCACTCACATTTTCATCTACTTGGAACCTGGCTACTGTCCGGTTGTGGTCTATGATGTACGTCTGTCCATCCCAAGCACAGGCAATCACCTCCTCGTAACCATTTCCCTAAAAGTGTAGAAAAACTTCTTAGAAGAAGCCCCACATAAGAACAACAGCCACACTCTCACCTGACCACAGTCAGAGAGTGAGACAAGGACGGCAATGTAAGAACATGAGATGCTACAACGATGGCAAAGCAGACTGTTCGAGCTGTTAAAGGTCACAGGAGTTGGGAGAGCAGTCCAGGAGTACACACTCACTACCTGATTTCAAAACAAGATGCCAGTGCCAGATGCAGGTGGGAAATGAATACCAAATTTAGTTTGGAGAGCAATCTTGAGCATCAACAGGAAACATAGGCTATAAAGGTCAGGGTCCACTTTTCTAGAAGAGTGTGATTATTCCTGCTGTTCACTCAGCTCATCTTTGAAGGAGCAATGGTAATGACCATTCTTTCTTCGGGGGACATACAGAGGTGTATCTCAGGAAAACTATCTCTAGTACTTTATAAGGACTTCTGATTTCTCACTGAGATAGGACTATCTAATACTCCTTGCTTCTGGATACATCTGTCTGCCCCAAGTGCACAGCTAGGCAAGAACTTACAGTAACATCCAGTTTTTCAAGAGCAAAAAGTTGATGGTCAACTTGTACAGACCACAGCAGCTTGTCTGCTCCCTCCATGAGCTTCAGGGTCCCTTTAAGGGGGAAAGAAAGGGTTAATCAGGAACTCAGCTGTGATCTGAGGGTTCAACTCAAGGAGAAGGTCCAAGCAAGAATAAAGCCACATCCCAGTATCCTGCATTTTAAAACCCTTTGAAGGCTGCTATGGGAATGCCAACTAACATTCTGAGGGACGGGCATATTGTAAATAAATACAAATTCAATTCCTTCTCATGTCTAATTTTTTTTATATCAAGAAGGTTCTTCAGGAGTCTCAAAATCTTGGGGCTCGGCCTTAGAACATGGACGGGAACAATAGGAAGCATGTCCAAATGCCTTCCCTCCTGACTAGAAGCGAAGGAAAACAGAAGAAATCGTATACGTGTTGAAGCTTAAGTGAGCACAAGTGAAAAAAAAAATGGCCCTTTTCTACTACATTCATGTTGTCACATAATTAAGCCATTGTGGACTGAGAACTTTTACTTTCTCAGGAATATCACATTTTCACTTTCAGTTCTGGAAAAGTGTATTTCATGCCACAGGTATGGGACACTTTGGTTTCAGAAACAACTTAATTGTGATTGCATCAACAGTCTGAAAAGCTTTCTTAATTCAGCCCCATCTCTCTTCCCGCCTCCCTCCTCATTCCAAGAAAATCAAGACTTACCATCCAGAGTGCAGAGTGCAAATAAACCCAAGCCTGTGTGCTCCTTTGAACCACCTACAGAGACAAAATGCAAGAGTACCCCGACCTTTAGAACCACCACCAAGTGTGGCTTTTTCTGAAGTGCCTCTGTCCTGAGAACGAAGCACAGAAGGCGTGATCCGCCAGACAACCCCCTTGGCTGATGTGGAGAATCTGGCGACGCGCTCTTGAGGGTTCTGCTCCTCGGTGCCTCTGCAGGTAAAAGGGAGTCAAGTGCTTTGATGGACAGGTGCAGCTTCAAAGGCTCAGCTGGAGGCCGTGAAGGATGACTTTGGGTGGGGTTTTAAATGGAACCCCGAAATAGTAATGGGAAGCCGAGGGGGAAAGGAATGGGAAGACTTTTTAGAAGGCTTTCTTGAACAGTCAGTGAAGCCAGCCGGTGTCCGGAATTCTTAGCCATGCTTAAAGTAACAAGGCTCTAACGAGATAGCGAAAGTGTTAAATGCAGGAATGCAAACCAGCTGCAAAATGTGTCTTACGGGGGTTGGGGGGGAGATTTATAGTGGGAACCAAGGTCTTTCAGGTAAAGGGACTTCTGTATTATTTCTATTCTACAGGATGCTTATAGGATCCAATTAAATATAAGCGACTTCTGATACCATTGATCATGGTATCCTTCTGGACTGGCTGCAGGAGCTGAGTGGGTGGCACTGTGCTGTGTTGGTCCTTCCTTCCTTCCTTCCTTCCTTCCTTCCTTCCTTCCTTCCTTCCTTCCTTCCTTCCTTCCTTCCTCCCTCCCTCCCTCCCTCCCTCCCTCCCTCCCTCCGGGGCCAGTTCCAATCCTGTGTTGATAGGGGGAGAGGGGCCCGGTCTGCAGCCCCTCCTTTGTGAGGTGCTGCAGGGCTCGGCCCTTTCCCTCCTCCTGCTTAATGTCCACAGGAGGCGGCTGGGTGAGGTCACCCAACAGTTTGGGGTGAGGTATCACCAATATGCTGATGATACCCAGCTTTATATCTCCACCCCAGGCCGCCTGAGTGATGCAGCGGACATCCTGCCCCAGTGTCTGGAGGCTGTGGGGGCCTGGATGGGGTGCAACAGGCTTCAGCTCAACCTAAGCAAGACTGAGTGGCTTTGGCTGTTTGGACCTTCTGGTGTTGGAAACCTTCCACTGTTGGTCTTGGATGAGGTGGCACTGCCTCAGAGAGTCCTGGTGCACAATCTGGGGGTCCTCCTGGACTCGCAGCTCCTGTTTGAAGAGCAGGTGGCAGCCATGGCTAGGAGGGCCTTTGCACACTTTGGGTTGTACACCAGCTGTGCTGTTCCTGGACTGGGAGGCCCTGCTCACTGTCACTCATGCCCTCGTGACATCTCATCTGAATCACTGCAATGCTCTCTGCATGGGGCTGCCCTTGAAGAGCATTCAGAAGCTTCAACTGGTGCAGAATGTGGCAGCACAGGTAGTAAATGGCACCAGTTATTTGGCACATGTAACACCACTACTCTGAGAGGTACACTGATTGCCAGTGTTTCCAGGTGCAATTCAAAGTGCTAGTTGTCACCTTTAAAGCTCGTCATGGCTTGGGAACAGGTTACTTGAGAGACCATCTCTTCTCACTTGTTTCTACCTGTCTGAGCCAGTCAGGCAGGATGGGCATGCTTCAGGTGCCATCTTGCCAGTTGGGAGGGCCTAAAAGACTCGCCTTTTCTGCTGTACTGCACTCCTTGTGAATCTCCCTCTAGAGATCAGGATGGCCCTGACTCTGCTGGCCTTTCATAAGGCCCTAAAGACCTGGTTCCGTGCCCGGGGTTAGGGCTGAGACTGAAGATCCGGGCCTCTACTTCAGCACCAGCGCTGCCCCCACCACTGACAAGCACCACGATGCAGGGTGGCCAAAAAGGCAGAGATGGGGGGAGACAGGTGGGTGGGGGGAGTTCAAGAGACGGCAGTTCCTTACCTCACCAAGGTCGGGCCGAGGAGGGACCAAGCCAGGAATGGCTTGGATTGGGGTGGGCCCTTACCTAACGACCAGTGTGATTTGGTTAACAATGGCAATGGGACTGCTGGGATTTCTGTCACTAAGTGATGCAGACATCATGCTTTATGACCACATTGCTTAGAGATGGAAATTTTGGTCCCAATTACTGTTGTAACCCGAGGACTACCTGTATTAGGATGCATATATAAACTTTTCCCCTTCATGGATCACTGCCTTGTCGTGGCGAAGGGGCTTGCGTAACTCAGTGAA